TCACTGTTTGGTGGTCTGCTGCTGGTCTGATCCACTACAGCTTTCTGAATCCCAGCGAAGCCATTACATCTGAGAAGTATGCTCAGGAAATCAATGAGATACTGCAACAAAAACTGCAACACCTGCAGCTGGCATTGGTCAACAGAAAGGGCCCAATTCTTCTCCACCACAATGCCCAACTGCACGTGGCACAACCAATGCTTCAAAAGTTGAACAAATTGGGCTACAAAGTTTTGCCTCATCCATCATATTCACCTGACCTCTCGCCAACTGACTACCACTTCTTCAAGCATCTAGACAACTTTTTGCAGGGAAAACACTTCCACAACCAGCAGGATGCAGAAAATGCTTTCCAAGAGTGTGTTGAATCCCAAAGGATGGATGCTACAGGAATAAACAAACTTTTTTCTCATTGGAAAAAATGCATTGATTGTAATGGTTCCTATTTTGATTAATAAAAATGTGTTTGAGCCCAGTTATAATGATTTAAAATTCACAGTCCAAAACCGCAATTACTTTTGCACCAACCTAATAGAAATAAAATGACACATCAAAATCAGAAACAAAATCTTTGATTTAGATATAAGAAAACAGGTTAAAGTAGATAAACACGGCAGTGAATAAAAAGCTGTTTTAAGTAGTAATATAGAAACTGATAGCATCACCTGGGAAAGGTAGATCCTAAATATTTTAAGAATGAAATGAGAGAATGAAAAACAAAGACTTATTTAAGAATTAATCATAAAGTCACAGTAGATTTATTTCAATTTCCAAACTATTTTAAACTGAATAGTTGGTAAAATGGGCAGCTTTAATGGAAATTAATCATTTAGCCTGAAGCACACCATGAGAACAATAATGGTATGAGAGAGAGAGAGAGAGAGATTGCGAATTGGATATAACTACTGAAAATCCCCAAGGTCAGTATATGTGACAAAAAGGAATTGAAAAGATTGAATGTCAACTTCTAGGTCACTGGCTTCTTACATATATAATTTCCATAACATGTGTGATGGCAATATGAGTAGTAACTTCCACTCTAAAAGGTGGGAGCAAATGCTTCCCAAATCAGATTGTGTGGTAATCTCGGTGTGGAAGGAAATGAAAAGAACCTGACTTTTTCTTTCAGCAGTTTAGAAATAACTGGAAACCTTAATAAAAGTAAGGCTCTATCTCCATCGTGAAAAGCTATGATTTAAACCTATTATTAAAATTTATTTTATATAAATATATATACCAGTACCAAAACAAATGGAACCGTGATCCAAAAGGACCATCACCAGTAGAAGCAGTGGTTCTCAACCTTCCTAATCCGCGACCCCTTAATACAGTTCCTCATGTTGTAGTGACCCCCAACCATAAAATTATTTTCATTGCTACTCTATAACTGTAATTTTGCTACTGTTATGAATCATAATGTAAATATCTTTTTGTTTTCCAATGGTCTTAGGCGACCCCTGTGAAAGGGTCGTTCGTTCGACCCCCAAAGGGGTCGCGCCCCACAGGTTGAGAACTGCTGAGTGGAAGCATTTTAACATCTTTCAAATTCAGCTCTTACCTATGAAACCTTCCTGCACGCCATTTAATGTTTCAGGACTCAAGGTAAGTTTTGGATCAGTGGTTATCCCAGACTCACCTCTAGCATCCTCTCCAATGAGTAGACTTTAGTGATCTTCCCTCAAGTATGAGCTTAATGGCCTTCCTATGAGCTCTCGCAGAACTCTGTGCTGCTCTCCACTATGATACTTATCATGTACGTTAGTGTAATTTCTTGTTTGCTTATTTCTCTCTCACACTGCACTATGAGTGCTTGAGAACACAAATTATGTCTTATTTATTTTTGGATTCTCAGTACCTAAGAATAATACCTAGATCATAACTAGACACTCAGAGAGTGAATGAATGAATGAATAAATAAATAGATAGATAAATAAATGCACTAAGAGAAACTCAAATATAAGTTTTCGCATCTGGGTTTTTATGACCTAAAAAAAAAAAAATACGACAGACAAGAAGGGAGAAGCATTTTTCCCTTTAGATGGATATAAAGGCCTATAAATTAATCACATTCACCAAGAAACTTAGATACCAACAACTGAAGCTTAGCCTCTTATCTTTATCCACAATAATGTCAATAATATAATAATGTCTTCACCAGTAATGAGTAAAACCAAAATCTGTGTGCTGATTTTCTAATACAAATGTTATTCTCTTGAACCAAAGACACTATTGAGAATTCAATTATAATTGTCTGTTTAAAACTAATAATTAATGTGTCTCTTTAAAGATTTTGATAGAACATGGTATTGATTATCAGTATGTACCATGGTTTAAAAAACCAATGCTGCTTTAAAAAAAAATTTTTTTTAATGCAAAACCTGATCAACATAAATGTACTGTAATGAGAATTATGCTACCATTTTAACAGTTTCCAACTGTTTTCCAAGAATCTGAAGTAATAATGTGAATTTCTTTCAATAAAGCTATAGTTTAATTTTGTCCAGGGAAATATTTTTAATAGAATTACTGACCCTTTTAACACTCTTGGAAAGTAAAATGAATCCCATAAGCATCCTGGTGTATAACTATTATAAAATTAAATAGAACAGCCAATCAGTGGGAATGCTAATGGACTTGAGAAACCAAACTTACTGAAGAAATGTACATAAGTGTGCATAGTGGTAACCACTTTAACGGAGAAAAGATTCCACTACTTATCAGCAAAATGACCAAACACACTAAGACAAATGAAGGCCTGGAAAGAAGGGGAAAAACTGAAGAAATAGCTTTCATGTTTTTCTTAAAACAGAGCAAAACACATTCACTTTGATCAATTCTGCTATCACTCAACTCTTAGGCCCTGTCCCTAAGTCCTGTTTGGTTTTTCAGAAGGTATTTAAATATTTTAGGGGAAAAAAGGACACTTACTAATTTAAGACACATTTTTGCACTCAAAACTCTTTGTGCTTTAAGAGGAATTTTTTCAGGTCATTAGTTTATAATGTGAACTGGCGCCTTGGGATATTTTGAAAGGAAAAACACTAGTATGCTTGGAGATGCAGTTTATGTGATTTGCATCATCATTTATTTCAGCTCAATTTGGGGCCCAAAACTGAACTCAAAATGAAATTACCACATGTGCAACAGTTTCTGTCTCAGCATGCAATGATCACACAGAAATCTGAAAACAAAATCAACCTCTTATCCCCAAAACAAAAACATCATAACCTCCTTAATATCCAAGTCCTTGCAAGTTCTTACTCTTCCATTAGTACAAAAATAAAGTTGGCTTTATAAATAATTTCCAAAATAATTTGGATCAAACACCATTGGCAAACCAAAATGCATTAATTCTGCAGGTTTTACCTTGTTTCTACACCCCACTCCAACCATTCATGCTGCCATGTTTGGTTGGGTCCAGGGAATATAGAACTAAATCACTAGGCGCAAAGAAAGCAACTGTCTTCCTAAACTCAAGTTCATGGAGCAAGGTGATTTGGCCATTATCAAGATTAATTTGCTCCAAATATTATGTCAAAATAGATCATTCCCAGTCCTAAAGTTAACTAGAGATTGCCTAAATTCTCTATTACGTTTAGTATAAACAAAACCACAGTCCACAGTTGTTAAATATAAACAAAACAGACATTGATGTTTCAACTATTTTGCATAACAAAAGAAACAGGTTAGAATCATTTTTCCTTCTCTTCATTATAACTACCTTTCTTTTACATTTGTTAAGGAGACCTGAATCCTGAAGTCAAGTACCTTGAGAGTGTTACGACCTCGGAAATTACAAAACGCCCTGTTCCCAATCTTGGGTACACTTTAGAATCATCAGAGGAACTTTTACAAACTACTGATTCTTAGGGCTCCGCTAAGATTTAGAGTCGGCCCTGGTATTAATCAACTCTAAAAGTTCCTCAGGTGAGTCCAACGTGCAGCTAAGTGAAGAACCAATAGTTCCACAAATATGGATCAATGACCCAGACAGGACCAAGGTTGAGATCAAGCCAACAGCAGTGTGAAGCAGAGCTTAAAACATAGATTACAAACTCGAGTGCCTACAGGAACCACTTAAATGAATGAAGCAGGCAATGTATACACACATTTTTAGACTGTGTGAGTGTCAGGGAGTGTGACAAATAAGGGAGCTGCCAGAGTGAAGGCTCCTGAGCTCTAGCTGATATTGCCATAAGGGAAACAACAGGTAACAGATCTTCTCAATCAGAAAAAAACACAGATCACAATTTTTCTGTAAAATTTCCAAACTTTTCAATGTTGGCTCAATTAAAACAACAATACTGTATGAAGCAAACAAAACACATAATGAAACACACAACATGTGTTTGGCCTTTAGGTTTCAGTTTATCACTTCTGGTCTAACGGGTTGTTTCCACTCTGCAGAAACCACAGTATTATCACCATCATTGCAACAATAATAACACCTAGCTTTCATTAAGTGCTTACATGTTAGCCATTATGCTAAGAGTTCTACATGATTGTCTCAATTAACCTTCACCAACCTTTGAGGTCCTATTATTATTCCCCCTTTACTCAATAACCACCCCACCACACCCCCAAGGTCGCACAACCAGAAAGTGGTGATGCCAGGTTCCAAATGTGTGCAGTGCAACTCCATAACCTATACCATGCTGTATTTCTTAAAAATTTTTTTAAATACACTCTTTAAAACCTCCATTGTTTGCACTTGCATTTCTTCAAAAATGAAATGAAGAGATTATACTAACTGATTTCTCAGCTCCTTTTTTAGTTCTCAAAGTCAATGGCTCTGAGTCCATAATACAACTCTTGGTTGTATAAAAACATTGGTATTTACATGTATCAGTCACGAATGCCCTGATAAGAATTACCTGATCAAAGGAATGGAATGAATGAATGCTCACTAAATAGTCTTTCTGAAAAAGCAGCAAAGACATAAAACCATAATAAAATTATTTCTCTCTACTGCTATAGAAAGTTGATGTCCCCCATTTTACCTTTTGAAAGGTGAGTAAAAGTGCTCAGAAATTCTTCATATGTTTGCTCATGACAATTAACAAATCTATCCAAGACTTCTTCAATCATTCGATCTTCATCCATCATCTCCAGTTCTGGCATTCCTATTCACAAGGCCACTTTATCTATGAAACAAAGAAAAACATGAGCTAGAGAGTGGTGCAGGACCAGCCTCTCTGAAAATACTCTAGATGGGTAAAAGAACAGATCAAGATGATTACTAGAGTAATAAGCCGTAGTTCAAGACGCCAGAGTTTATGAATATCTTGGCTTCTGAGTTGTTATTTTTGCTTCAGTTTCCTCATTTCCATCTTCTTAATTCACATTCTTTTCATCCCAAATGTCTAACAGCTCAGAGAGTAGCATAGAGCTGGCAGTCAATCAATATCAAGCTAAAATTAGACCGTACCTGACTTATGAGGGTTCAAATTAGGTTTTTTTTTTTACTTTACCGATGGTGTGAAAGCAACATGCATTCAGTAGAACTTCAAGTTTTGAATGTTGATCTTTTCCCAGGCTAGCAATATGCAGTATGGTACTCTCTCATGATGCTAGGCAGCGACAGGGAGCCACAGCTCCCGGTCAGCCACTCGATCACAAGGGTAAACCACTAATACTGTGCAGTGTAGCAATAAATGCATTTTCAACTTACAATGTTTTTAACTTGCAATGGGTTTATCTGGACGTAACCCCATCATAAGTTGAGGAGCATCTGTGCTCTTTTGAGCAGGTATTACAGTCAAATATTGCTAGAAGCTGGCAAAATACACATAGAAACTTGCCCAATTATTTCACCTGTGCCTTACCTGGTGTGGCTTCAAGTCCTTTCATCCTCCTGATCAATCTATCTGGAAAAGATTTCACACTGCCTGCATGCCTTTCAAGTATGCCACCCAGAAATGAAGACAAGTCTCCTGATATGGTCTGGATACCGCGAGATTTGACTGACTCTCACATTCTAAGTGTTGTGCTCCTGCTATGCAGCTGAAGGTCACATTCAGAGTACGGGGGCCCCTTCACATTTAACATACAGCTAACTAAACGCCTGTCAGCTAAGACACAACGCCTCACTCCTTACACAGTTTGAACTTTGTTTTTACTTATTTTCATCTTGTTCAGTTGCATTCATTCTGTAGGAAATGTCATTCTTACAGAGCTTTGAGAAAATTGACTATCTGCAGAAAGCAGGAGAGTAATTACTGCCTAAGTAAGTATAATTCATGGGGGATAACAAAAAGGAGGGGTTCTCCAAACTGTAGAGCAGGCAGAGAAAGCTTCTTATATTTTTCTAAAATAAGAGTAAAAATCTGTGGGCCGCCTGAGTGGCGCGTTTGTTAAGAGCTGGCTTGGGACGCCAGCTCTGAGCAGCAGGGCCCGGGTTCGGATCCCACATGAGGGCCAGTGACATTGCCCTCTACAGCTAAATGGTAAACAGCATCTCGACCTGGAGCTGGGCTGCTGTGAGTCGCTGGCGACGGCATAGGCTGCAGCCCCTGCTGTAGTGGGTTGCCATAAGCTACCGTTAGTGGCTGGCAGCCAGCGTGAGTGGCCAGCAGCCGGTGTGAGCTGCCAAGAGCTGCCGTGAGCAGCCATCCAGAGGCTGGCGACCGATCTGCCTCACCCGGGAAGAGCGCAATGATAATACCAACATGGGCCAGTGAAGCGACGTCCTCCACTAGACTGAAGAACCAAAGGAGAGCAACTTGTCTGTTCCCCTTCCCCGATTCCCCAACGCTGTTTCTCTCCCCTAATTCCCCCCCAAAAAAGAGTAAAAATTTGTCACCTGATATTAACTTTATTTGATATTTACAAAAGAAAAAAAAAAACACCAGAAAAAAGAAATGTTTTCATAAGCTGATGCCCAAATTCATTTGGTGGTAAGACCTTATCTGAATGAATGTAAAGTATTTATGGCTTTTATTTATTCCACTCAGTGTCACTATTCATATACAAATTGCAGAAATACTAATTGGCTTGCTTTTGAAGTACTTTCCCAGATCTCACTAGAGCAGCGGTTCTCAACCTTTCACAGGGGTCACCTAAGACCATCAGAAAACACATATTTTCGATGGTCTTAGGAACCAAGACACCGCTCCTCTATCCGTCTCCAGGCCCACATGCAGATATGCCCACATACGAGTACCCAGCGACCCCTGTGAAAGGGTCGTTCGACCCCCAAAGGGGTCGCGACCCACAGGTTGAGAACCGCTGCACTAGAGAGTTTGTGCAATATGTGGCCATTCCCCTGATTATCTTTCTAAACTCCAAAAAATTCTGAATTCTGAAATACATCTGACCCCAAGGGTGTGAAGCCAAATGTACCTCATAGGATTGCTATAAGGATTAAAGCAGGATACATGGCAGGCACATCAAGGAATGTTAGGCATTAAAAACAAAAAAAGAAAGAAAGAAATGTTAGCCATGATGAGCATGGTGACAATAATGGGTCAGTCTTAGTATGCTGTCCTTTGCCTACACAAGGACCTGTTTTGACTGTCACCCCCTCTGACTTTGAAGGCACTGATGTTACCTGGAGATAAATCAAGATAACTCCTCAGGTGTTACAATCCCTGATAAAACATGGTATTGTAAAAGTCCAGGCGAACATAAAATGTGTAGCTCTGTACCAAGTCGAAATGAAAGAACCTGTTTCAAGCTGTTTGCACCTAATAATTAGGTATAGGAAAAAGCATCAGTTATGGTTTATGCAAATTTACCTGTAACACTGCCAAATTCCAGCAATCCAAAGTTTAAAAATTATGTGTGCGGTTGCTAGATGAAAACAGATGATGAATAAATTAAATGGTGGCTATTATATATTTTACTATCATGCACTTAATTCCAAGAACGTCCATGTCAATCTGCTTTTCCAGAGTTGGACCCCAACTAAAGTCTAACAATGGATTATATCAATCTCATTCTCAAACCGTCTCGGGTAATCTAGTTCAGCAAGCAACTACCACACAGAAGCAGCCGCTTGTGTTTTACATTGCTGTGAATGTCTCCTTATGGACACTTTCAGAGGGATAACAGGAAGTCCTTTAAACTTCCTTTCCAATTCCCAAATTGGTTGGTATATTTTGAGTATTTAGCCTTCCCACATGTCAGTTTTACTAAAAGCAAATAATTAACAGGCTGTGCACAGCACAAATTCAGAATCCTTCACAGCCTTTAATTGGATTCATGTGGTTATCACAATACAGAAGAGGTTACGTTTTTATTGATTTTTTTTAAGACTTTTGGAAAATCCAGTTTCACAAACTGTCATTATTGAAAGCATTGCACAAATACCCACCTTTGGAACCTTCCTTACGTATAAAATACCCAAATTTGGAACCTTCCTTACGTATAAAAACACAAATAACCTAATGTTAAAAGTCCCCAGGGACTGACAGAGCAGATAATCATTTACCAGGCAGTCAAGTGGTTTATGCAAATCCTAGTGGTTTTCTAAAAGGAAGAAAAGATTTTTTGGTTACTATTCACGCACATTTGTGTTTTTATCATAAAATATTTTTCTAAAAAAAAAATAAAGGAGAAAAAGAGATAGAGAGACACTTGCTTGGATAACAAGAGTCTTTGTTTTGGTTTGGGTTTTGTTTTCAGGCTTAGAGTGCCACATGAAAGACCCAGAACATATTGTGATGATAAGTAAATGTGTATAAATATCTACTGGTAAGTCGTAAGTAACACTTTCACAATCACAGCCTCTACTAGGAAACACAGAGAGGATGTATTGTTCTGCTGGGACTGCCAAATGGAGACCACAGGCTTAGTTAGGAACAGGGTTCTCTTCTTGTCGCCTCAGTGAGCGGTAACAAGGGAATCCCATAATTCTCCTAGACGCCTGTTCTCTGCTGTCAAATTCTAACAACCACCCTTGCCAGTGAGCGTTGTGTACTCTCTGAAAGGACATTATTATGAAATGTGGTATGTGGAATTATCACCATCAATTTAAGCACATCTTTGATGTTTATCTTCAGATCCCTGCTTGATACCACCTACCTAAACAAAATGCGACTTTCAGAGATCAAAGTGGTAAGCCTAAAGTTACAAGTTGCCATGAGCTAGCCTCCTCTTAAAGTGCGTAACCTGCTTTTTAACAGCAGAGCATATTGAAAAAGAAAGATTTTTTTTTTAATTGTGAGGTTCACCACTGACACTTAAAAATAATAAATAACACATTTTTAAAGAGTTATGCAGGGGATATCAAAGCCTACTTTCTGAAATTTTCATAGTTCTGCTCAACAAAAATCTCTTGCTGTGCGGAAAGGTAAGATGGGATATTATCAAAACTAATTTGCCTTGCCAGGGGAAATGAAACCATCAACCTTGGTATTTCACAGGATGGGTCTTCTTTTATAATATATTTTGAAACATGGACAAACCTCAAAGAGACCATGTTGCATTGTAACTGCACCAATTTATTTATATGATAAAAGAAACCTGGTATGAACTGATTTCTTCTTCCTTGACTGAACTACACATATTCTGCATCCTCTAAATTTTTTTTAAGGTCTTTTAGATCATATTAAGAAGACAGAAAGGAGTCCAATGACAGAAATTACCACAGATTCTCAGTGTTGAGATCTAGTCCAACCATAGAGTATAAATGAATGATTCTGGAAAGAAACTTTAGGTGGGGTTTTTGTCAACTAATGACTCTATGATGAGGAGTACTGTGTGGTTCTCATATCATAAATAGTCATGACATGCTCATGAGTATGAATTTTAAGGCATACATGAAGTCAGCAGGAAATTAAGCAAAAAGCAACACTCTCACCCTGGATGGGTACAGTCATGCCCCCAAGTGCATTCTGTACCCCAAGAGCTTTGTTGTTTCAGACCTACCAATACAAATAAGGAAACAAAGGAAAAGATAAAAGGACTAAAAAGGCATAAATACAAATCTTACAAAAGAGAAGATGATCTAAGCTCCTCTACTGTTTTTTTATCAAGATGAGATAGAAACATACATTTCTAACATCAAAAAATACACTGCACTTCAAGTTATAAGCTTCTCCCAACAAATCTATTCTAACACTTAAAAGGCATGGAATTCTTCATTATCACCAAAAATGTTGATGGCATAAGCCATCTATACTTCCACATAAATTCCCCGATA